CATAGCATTTATATGAAATATAAATATTTTTATAACATTAGAAATGTCTTTACTGTCCCTTTTGATCAATTAAATGCACCCTTGCATTTAGAATTTAGAGTTTTAAGGAAATATCTGAGTTACTTTTTCAAATAAGTAACGGCAGTTACTTTGTTTCCCATGTCTTGACTGACAGCTCTCGTCTCGTGTTGCCATGTTGAGAGAAACCAGGAGTAAGTGCAGAGGTGTTGCGTTCGCTGTGTGAACATGATGCTTACTGTAATTCTTAATATGATCATATTTACTCATCTCACCTGCACAAAAACAGACTCAGTATTCTCAAAATAAATTAAAAACAGTCAAATGCAAACTCAGAATATTATACAAACCTGCAATAATTAAATGTGTTAAATAAGACAAATATCATTTATGTATGAATCCCATTTTAGTAACCAATGTCTTTGCTACTGATCTTCAATGATCCAATTCAGTCATACTAAGCAAAAATGACACATTTGTGAATCATTTTTGTTATTGCTGAATATAGTAATCATATTCTTCATGTAATTTGTTTGAGCTGCATCCTCTACTGTACAGACATGAATTTACATTTCCTTTAGCCTAAGACATATTAATTTACATATTTAGACATATTTACATATTAAGACATATTTCATTTTGTTGTGAAAAGGGCTTTTACATTTGTAAAAGATAATTTTTTTTATATTAAAATCAAACAAGCAAGCCCTGCCCAGATTTAAAAAAGTAACGTAATGCATTACTTTCCATAAAAAGTAACTAACGTAATCAGTTACTTTTATTAGAGAGTAACGCGTTATTGTAATGCATTACTTTTAAAAGTAACTTTCCCCAACACTGTTGATCAGTGGATGAACAGATGCTTTAATAAACAAACAGCATGGGAGGGGCCGTGACAAATCGACTTTGACAACTACAAATCTCATTTGACCATAAAAGAGTATTCTGGCTTATTTAATGGCTGAGATCCAGGGTCACTAATAATGGCAAAAAGATGCATGCAAGTGTCAATAGTCTTTAATATCATTTTGATGTCCTCTGGTTGTTTATGTGGTACTGGACATCGGGATAATGAGATGACAGTCTCATGTGCTGTTTGAGCTTCCTCGCTTCACACCTCTAGCATCCCTAATGAGAGACCCTTGAATCATTCTTAGTGACCCTCGCAAAACTCTAATGAGGAGCACGCAGTTTGTTCACCAATTACCGGTCTCAAGCAGATGGAGATATGCAGTGCTGAAATCTTAATTTAGATGTTTTGCATGTAGTGTGAATACTCGTTATGTGTGCTTGGATACATAATCTGAGATGAAAGTATGGTCTTTGAAAATGGAGGACTCGTTGGAAGGAAAAGCTAATAACAGTCAGACCTCTGAACTGAGATGAGACTAAGATGGGCAGTAAGGGTATTATACAACTGCTCTAAAAAGGAAAAGAGCCACTAGGCATATCTTTGACACTAAACCCTGTCCGACCTCTGAATACCGTAGTATAAATGGTTATTCACTAGGCAGGATGCTCTTAGGTTAAGTCATGTCTAATTACTTTACATGTTTGTTCTTGCCTCTAGCTACGAGAGAGCACAAAAGCATCTTCATTGTTGCAGCAATCCTGGCATGTGGCTTGGGGTTTTTGCCAAACATTTTCAGTATTTTGACAGTGGATGGCAGTGATATAAGCATGTATGGAGAGATCATGCAGTATATATTATCACCATAACAATGACTTTCAGAAGTTCTCGAAATATGTTCTCATAAGTATATTATGTGATTTTAGGTGAAATACAGCCAAAGGTTCATATCTTTGGTATTGTAACTGGCTCTTTTGGCCTTAGTGCATTTCAAATAGCCCTGTGTCAAATAAATTTTTAAAAGTATAAATATTTCATGTTGCTCAATTATCATTACTCATAAAAGATGCAAGCAAAGTGATTATTCAAAAAGTGGCACGATATCTTTGAAAATAGTTTTAGATGGATTTTAGCATGCAGTGTGTGTATTTAGGCCTATATATATTATATATTTATATATATTTTATGTACTGTACAGTATGTTTCCTCTGAATCTTTGTGAGTGTGTGCACGCATATGCATTTATATATTATACACTACCGTTCAACAGTTTGGGATCAGTAAGATGTTTCAGCATTTTTGAACACACACACACACACACACACACACACACACACATTACTGTTCAAAAGTTTGGAGTCAGTGTATATATATATATACAGTGGGGCAAAAAAGTATTTAGTCAGCCACCAATTGTGCAAGTTCTCCCACTTAAAAAAAAAAAAAAAAAAAGCATTTTGACAGTTTTGGGAGGGAATGCACTTAATGTTAAATTTAAGTGTGAACAGACTACAGGAGTCACACCTGAATTTTGCCTAGTGGAAAAATAAATATAATAAAATGTTTTTGAAATACATTTATTTTTATGCTAAGTATACTACAAATACATTTTCATATTTATGTAAAATACCCTGCAATTGTACCTTTGGTATAATAAACTGGTATACTTAAAGTCTGCTAAATTGGAAAAACTAATTTTGTACTTGAAGTAGTGCTGACGTCCAATTAAAGATACACTGAAGTATATTTGTGCTAAAGTCGATCTATTGCAAGTATACTTTAGGTACACTTTAAATATTTTGCATTTTTAATTTTTTATTCATTTATATTCAAAGATCATACAATCCTCATCAATTGTGGCATTAAAACACATTTTAGGCTTAATATTAAGAAATGTGCATTGTGCACAAGTGATACTCCAAATAAAGTTTAAGTCTTGAGTGATATTTCAGTAAATATATTAATAGATTTTGAACTAAGTATGAAATAAATGTATTTTAAATATATTACTATTTACTAGGGTGCTAACAATAAACATGGATGCTAACAGATTAACCTATTTAGCTATTTGTGAGCGAAGAAATATTAGCAACCTGAGGCGTCTCATCATCTGGAAAGTTTTTCTTTTCATTTAGCTGCTCTTTTTAAACTGCATGCTCTCTTGGACAGTAATGGATCGCCATTAGACCACAGAGCTGGTAAGTCAAGTGGTTATAAGAATAAGTGGCTTAAACTGGTCCTGGTTTTTTTCAACCTGTATTTTTCTAGTAAATTTGGTTGTAGAATGCAGTTATCCCTCTCATAAATAACCAAATTTAGAGTGTACAGAACAAGATTAAGCAGTCAAACTAGGAGTGACTCTGGATTAAGCTCCAGTGTGAACGTAACATTTCTTCGTTACATTGCATGTGTTTGTATGTTCAAAAGCGAACACTTTTACAGACACCTAAAAGCAATAGAGATTGCACTTTTGCTCGCACCAAACAGAATGTGATTTTCTTTGTATTACGGTAATGTGGTGAAGTCTAGTCTGCCCAGGCTTCACTGTAATTGTCTCTGTGTGTATCCGGCTTTGCATGTGTGGGATTCCTGCTCCTGGAATGTGCAATCACAGTAAGCTTTCATCTTTTTGATATCAGATCAGCATGACAGAATCAGATGATAGAGCTCTACAATTACAGCTGCACCTTTGAAAACACATTTGGCATTCGGCAGAGCACATGGCGCATACATTGACGCCCCAGATACCGTCGACTCGTTACTATCAGATCATATACATCAAGGCTTCATCTGTATGGCCGACAACCTCTTCAGTCAATTATTCTCTTGTTAGCGAGGCTTAAACCTGATGGGGAGTGGTTTAATTATAACACCCTCTACACTGTGCACAATTACTGGCTGTAACGTTCTTTGTTTAGTATGTAGAATGAAGAGCCTTTCATACTCCCAATGGCAGATTGCCATCTACACCATGTTAATAGGAATTAGACATGGCATTTTGTGTTACCTAAAGTACCATCAGGGAATCTGCCCTCGCTTTGTCCCTTCAGCAGGGTTTCGTATTGAAGCTCAGGTTGCTGGACAAGCGAGTGCTTTGTAATCTTAGAAAAGGCGGCGGGTTTAAGGCATTTGGCTGCAGCTATTTTAATCTTAAGGCTGGAGCATTAAGTCAGACGCAGGATAGAGCAGTAGAAGGGCCTCCCTGAGGGCTAGCCAGTTACACTAGTAAAGCTCAGGAGGAGAAAGCGAGAATATGTGCATGCAAATCAGCACAAGTCCCTCTTTTAGTGAGACGGTTCTTCTCTTTTATGCCAAACTGAATCAAAAGTGCCGTATGGTTGTGTCGTAGGGCTTCACTAACACCACTTCTTTCTTTCTTTCTTTCTATCACTATCTCATGTCATTCACCCTACACTCCCTTCATGGGCGAATATCTCCATGACGACCCCATCCTCTGTCTCTCCATCTCCGGTCTCTCTCTCTCTCTCTCTCTCTCTCTCTCTCTCTCTTTCTAGTGTGCGTCATGAAGATGAAAAGTGCCTAATCCCCTTGTGGAACTCAGTCTAACAGACACACATACAGAATCCCTGCTTTTGGGAAGACGTCACACACAAGCGCGTCACTCTCTCCGAGTGAGCGCGGCTTTACAGCGGGAAGCGGCGGATGGAGAGGGAAGAAGAGAGAGAGGGAGGGAGGGTGGCGATAAATGCTTATTGTTCTTGAGGAGCCTGAACTGGAGGTGTGGCATCTGCCGGGCGTTGTCGTGGAGACAGAGTGCTGGCTGTTCCCTCATCCTCTTAGCTGATCGCTCAGACGCTGATCACAGGAACGCTGATCCTTATGGCATCTAGAACAGCAGCCACAGGTAACCAGCAGCACTCGTTGAGCACGTAAGCCTACCTATGCTGTTAGGTGTGTTTGTGATAGAGTTGAGACTATTTAAACTGTAGTGCAAAAAAAAAAGTGCTTGTTGGTTTGAGACGCTCCGCATGTGGCAGGTAGGAACGGATCAGAGGTGTGTATGTGTGCATTGTGACTCATAAAGGGGAAAGTGGTGATGTATTCTGCCAGGGGTTTCAGCGAGTGCTGCTGCGAATTTCCACAGCCTGCGCTTTAGTGGAGAGGTGGGAAAAAGAGAGAGGCACAGGAGCGAGGGAGACATCACTGCGATATTTCATCAGCACGGTGCACGTAAGTGTGTCACTAGTTCACTTTGTCTGTGACGGACGGTCAGGTGTCGTTAATGCTCTCGGTTTTAGCGGAGCTCCTTCGGCAGACGGCAGCCACTGCGATTCCCCCTTCAACGCTTCCGATCTCACGCGCTGATAGACTAGAAGGGCTCTGGACAGTGATGGATGCTGTTCATAGGTAAAGAACAAAAAGTGTGGATTTCAGGGGGTGGAGAAGGACAGGTTTGGGGCTGTCAGACACAATAAAGAAGACCTGCCTTCGGGAGAGACACGCAGAGCTTTTGACTGGCTGACTTTACTGACTGAATAAGTAAGTAACTTACAGGATGAATGTGTCAGGGTGTGATTCACACATTTGCATTTTCATCTTATCAAGTGTGTCGTCACATGTGGCGAGAGGACGATTATTTGGTTTAAATCACATTAAGACAAAATATAAACTCAGCAGATCTCTGGGATATGCAATTCCATTTTCACATCCATTAGGGGCTGAAGGAAGAGGGAAAAAAAGAGGGATTGAGAAAATGGACCTGGCAAGTTGATACGAGGCTATTTAGAGGTGTATAGCAATGTAGGGAACATTTGGCAATCTGTTTCCTTTTTTTTTAAAAACGTAACTTTTTGAACTTGCTGTGAATTAGTACATCCATGAATGAGATGAGTGTGTAGGCTGGAACTGAAGAGTACATGCTGTTTTTGAAAGTGTGAATTGGTGTTGTCTTGAGGAAATGTTTGTAACACAGCTTTAACCAAAAGACTCGAGATGTCTTCATATTCCATATCAGGAAGGCAAGTATAACTAACCTAAGATCATGATGCTGTCTACACCCTAACACCTTCTGATGTATTATCCTTTATGTCCGACCTAATTGAATCACAGCATCGTGTGTCGCATCACCCCCCAGAGAAACAGCAATTCTTTACATTCAGAAAAAAATGTGTTCTACCTCTTTAACATTTTAGCTCCTAATTAGGCTCAGGGGGAAATGTTCTTTAATGTGGTATATTACATGGTAATTACCATGTAATTATTATGTAACAAACGTATCACAGATTTCACAGTGTTTAACAGGTTTAATCTCTTCTTTATTCTCCTTGTAAGCTACACCAACAGGTCTGAATTGACGTTATGTGCATACTGCTGCTATTTTGCTGACACGTTGTACTAACTGGACCATGAAATAAAGTGTTTGTCTTTTTAATTTTTTTTAAAGCAAAGCAAAATGGTTTACCTAGATTAGTGCTGCCATATTTCAGGAAAGCCTCCAGACTGCTTTTACAGAAATTCACAAATGCTGCAAGAACTGAATGGAATTTTAAATGATTGCTCAGTGAATTAAATCAACTTGTTTTAAATGTAAATGTAAACACTGAAGACATAGCATTCTGCTACTGTTTGAAATGCCTTCATGAGGCATGCAGAAATGCATTTACATTAACATAAATACATTTTTCTTGTATACTTTTTGTACACGCCATTATACGTCTTATACTGCCAAAGTGACTTATTAGAATGTGCATATATTGTATTGTTAAAATTACTCTTCAGCAGAACGCAAAAGATACGAATCAAGAATAAAGCCAGAGTGGCAATTTAGAAAGTGGCAACAAGAAAGTGGCACTGAAAATATAGTGCTGTCTGAAGAAATGGGTATCTGATCCAGATTTAGTTAATAGATGTGGTTAATAATGAGTGTATTTATTTTCCTTTCTCTTTCTTATTTATTTATTTAGTTTACAGTTAATTGGATGTATACTTTTTACACTGCGATAGGAGGTTTGGACTGTAGTTGGTTTACTGTTTTGCTTTAATTGCCTGTTTAACCATTTATCTTAATCTCTTAATGATTCGTCAATTGCTTCGATCTTTCGATCATAAGCAGTTCACTTCCCCGTAGTCTTGGCTCTTGCTCAGACAGGACACGACTGTGTTTGTTGTGTGACAACATGGTTGCAAACATGTAAATAGCCATCTATAGCAACAAACAGCCGAGTAAAGACGTTTCTAGATGTAGAATGGTGTGCACCTCTCTCTGTAGAGAAACGCAGCTTAGCCACAGCAAACTAGCACAGATGTACTAAGATATTGAAGCAATTGAGAACTAGTGACAAGTAATGTAAATCACAAGTCTGTTTCTCCAGAGCCAAGCCTAATAAGTTTGACAGTTTAGTTGGGTTCATTAAGGAACTTTGAGGGAAGCCAACAGGGATACAAATTAGACACACTAGTGTTAACAATCTGTAGTATATACCAGGGCCATATGGGGAGGATATGCAGGAGATGTCTAGGCCGAAAAGAGGGGATCAGAGCAGTATTTTTTTCTGAAGTGAACCACATTTTACCTGCAGTTCTTTGTTTGTTTGTTTTTTAAGTTAAGAAATAACTGTGTTCTCTCTTACTCCAAGATCAGTCCAGTACAAGCATAATGCAGTTGCATGTCAGCAAGAATTCACCATTGAGAATTCATATTAAACACTGTTAATAGACAATTAGCAGACAGAATGAAATGGAATTTGTTAAATATTATTGGAAAACAATTCTTAAAAATACAAAACATTTAATGAAAATTCATGATTTTGAAAATGAACATTAACATACAGTACACAAAAAAAATATCAGTAAATATCAAAGAAAACTTTTTTTCCAAATATGGAAATAAAATGTAAGACTGATTAATACGCAACTTTCTCAACACTTTTTAGTCTATTGAACAATCATTTCATTATACTAATCAGTATGCAACATCAGTACAATATTGGTTTGCGCATTTATATATATATATATATATATATATATATATATATATATATATATATATGCTATTTTCCCTGATTTCCCTTAGGTACTAAGGGAACAGTTACAGAATGCTTTGAGTGGAAAGAGATTAGATATTAAGCTACAATATTGATTTTGTGTTGGGCTAATTTGAGTTTCTTTTGTCAATATTATAGCATAAGGGCCCACTGACCTAAATATTAGCAACCTGTCTCACTGGAGATAATATCACTGTATATTGTGCTATGACTATGATAGCTTCTAGAAGCCTCACAGAGCAGCTCACGTATTCATGCTAAGCCATCTAATATTCACAATTAGACAGGTTCGTTATACTGTCAGAAGTATGACATGAAGAAAAAATGTCCTGCTCTGAATCCTGTCTGACTAAGCAAGCGTTTTTGCATTTTAATTAGGCTTCCTTTCAAAGTGCCGATTGCTCTGCTTCAACTCCACTGGCCCTGATGGCCTCCAGGAGCTTCCTGAGCGTCCTCTAGGGAGACAGCACACTAACAGATTTTTTTTTTACTAAATTTATTCCCTCCGTTAATGCTATGAGTCATCTTTGAATAACTCCTTTTTTCACTATCGCTAAAGTTTTTATTTTTTTTATTTTCATATTCAGGAGTGGCCAGTTCCAGCATCTGAATGAACTGTAACAAGGTTTTCTGTGGTTCAGTCTTACATCTGCATGCAATTCACACCCTCGGTGCCACCAACTACTAGGGTAGTTCTCGCTGTTAATATATTTGTTTCTCTGACTGTTGTTACTTAACGCAATGCTACATGGGAGAATGAGGCCATTTATTTGTTCCTCCAGCTCACTTGTTAGCTTGTTTGGGGACAAACAGTACTCAAAGAGCTGAAGCCCGATAACTATCTCAGTAATCTGCATTATGTGCATGAATTAGCATATATCAGGCAACAAACTAAATATGCATGTGGATGGATGTGTGGCTGTGTCAGTCATGTCTGTATGTGAGATTTTGTGAGCTTTTGGCAGTTCCTTCAAGTACCTGTGAAACTTATGCGGCCATTGCCAAAGTAATTTCAATTAGTGTTTCACTTCACTTATTTTAAATTAAATTGCTTGACCAGTGCTTTCCATTAAGGTTATTTAGAAAAATGAATTGGGTGAAGCAATGACATTTAAGGGAAAGATGTGTTTGTTTAATCCACTTGTATGCAAATCAACTTATGCATTTTGTTGGTGGCAGTGGTTGTTGTGTTAGCCTTATCATTATCCATCTAAGTGCCAAGATTTTATGCTAGAGCTGGTTTGGACTCATAATGGTAATGCACTCTATGGAATCAGAAACAGACTGCTTTTAAGAGCACTGCTTCTTAGAGCAGCTGACATAATCCTGATTCAATTCCCTGGAAATGCCAAGCAAGGATAGATGTCCTGTCTCACCTCCAAGAAAAAGTGTCCTCTAGAGTGTGATCACCACCAAGATCCTCATGAAGAAGATGTTTTGTGGTTGCCATGACCCAAAGATCTTATCAACTCGTGCCAATTAGTGGTATTTGCTTTTTAAAATCCACTTATATTCCTAAATTTGATTTGAGGTTGCAAGCAGCAACTATAATTGCATAGACTTAGAACACTGAATTAGGAAGTATTGAAGGAAGTAGATTTAAAATGAACTGAAATTCCAAATATATAACCCTGACATAAAGACAAAACTTGGCTTGACAGCAAAAGTTGAAAAATGTCCCGCTATAGAAATATGTACTTTATTTGTATTTATATTACCAATTTTTGGACCATTGTGGGAGAAAAACAAACAAACAAAAATTTGACTTTCTCTGAATTTTCAGTAAATTTCACTTCCAGTAATTGCAAATTCCAACTCAACTTCCTGTGGTGTGTGGTCAATTAAATTCAAAGTTACAATTTTACACAACCCTGTTGCATGGGCAAGAATAATACTGCAAATTGTGTGACTTGTTGAGGAGGAGTGTGCTTTAAATCAACCAGATTAGATTTTTTGGAAAGTTTTGGGTTTTGACTGCAAACACCTAGCCACCACATATATTTTCTGCAAGAAATGTGAAGTCTGCTCCCTGTTGTGTTTGAAAATACCCAATTAAGCATAATTATTAAGTGATTAGATCACCTTTTAGATTAGACAGAAAATAATTATAAAGGAAACTAAAGGTGAAGGGAAATATCTCGGCCGCATCTAAGTAAAACTTTCATACGCGGTATGCATTGAGGTCCTGTGTGTGGGAGGGTGTGTGTGTTTATGTTTAAGGGTTAGTGTCTTGGTGGTGGATTTTGCCTGCAGGGTTAATTAGCATTGCAGAAGCGATGTCTGGAGGCAGTCGGCTCATCAAATCTCGCCTTTTCTCCGTCTCTCGCATCCCTTTCTTTTTTGTGTGCGTGTAATTGTGTACACTGAGAATATTGTGCATGCAGAAGAGAAACCAACAAGAAAGCATAAATGATGCTTCCACTACATAGTATGTCGGGGATGAGCACACACACAGACAAATGCCAAAGGGAGGAGGAAACCTGTTGGCCAAATAAA